AGAAAGCAGGAAAGAAATCAAGCAGGGAATGATGTGAGCAAGAAGGGGCCATGAAATGACCTTGGCAAGTTGGGTTAATGAGAATCCCAAGGCAATCTAAATGTACTTTAAAAACAAGAGAGTACCTAGAATGAAGGTAGATAACTCAGGATAAAGGAGAACACTTTTGTTTGGAGGCAGAGAATGTAGGTGGGATGCTAAGCGAGTACTTTGCATGTGTGTTCAGCTAGGAGATGGACATGGAGGGCAGTGAGATTTGTATGGAGCATGCTAATTATATTATGGTGTTTTGAGATCGTGAAAGAAGTGGTATTGGGTCTCTTGAAGAGCATTAAGGTGAATAAGTCCCCAGGGCCTGATGGTACCCACCCCAGTTAATTGAGCGAGGCAAGCGAGGAAACTACTTGGGCTTTGATGAAGATCTTTGTATCTTCATTAGCCACTGGAGATTTGTGGAGGACTGGCAAGTAGCTCATGTTGTTCCTCTGTTCAAGAAAGGAAGTAGGGGTAATCTAGGAAACTGGCCCACATCAGTGGTTGGTAAGCTACTGGAGAGCATTCTTAGGATAGGATTTATGCACATTTGGAGAAGCATTGCCTAATTAGGGACAGTCAGCATAGTTTTATTCAGGGCAGTTCATGCCTTAATATATTGACTGAATTTTTTGAGGAGGTGATGAAAGTGATCAAGGAGAATAGGGCATGTTGTCTACATGGATTTAGTAAAGCTTTCAACAATGGTTGCCTCATCCAGAAGATTGAGAAGCATAATGAGTTGGCGGTATGGATTCAGAAATAGCTTGCTTATCGAAGGCAGAGGGTAGTGGTGGAAGGTTGTTTTCTTGGCTAGAGGTCTACAAGGATTCATACTGGGAGTGCTGCTGTGTGTAATATATACAAATGGCTTGCATGAAAACGTAGGTGGGTGGGTTAGTAAGTTTGCAGGAAGGATGTGGAAGGTTTGGAAAGGGTACAGAAGAGTTTTACCAGGATGCTGCCTGGGTTAGAGGGTATGAGCTTTCGTGAGAGGCTAGATAAACTCAGGTTATTTTCTCTGGAGTGGCGGATGCTGAACGGAGACTTGATGGAAATGTATAAAGTTATGAGATGCATAAACAGAGTTGACGGTCATTATCTCTTTCGCAGAGTTGAAATGTCCAAAGCTAGGTGGCATGCATTTAACGTGGGAGGGGCGGAGGGAAGTTCAAAGGAAACGTGAGGGACTAGTTGCCATTTTTCATCACCCTTTATTGCTCTCCTTGGCTGATTTATATGCTGCATCCACTCAGCTCTGTTGTGTTTTTTTTCTGCTTAATATATATGGATTTTCCATGGATCTAATATTATCGCCATTTGGTTTGGCCACATTGCATATTATACTTTGATGCCAAATAAGATTGATTAATTGTTGCAGATTGCCCATGCACTCTTTGAATGTTCAACATTGACATTCCTGCATCAAAGGTTTTAGTAACATCGCCCACTCCATTTTATCCTACACATGCCTTATACCATCGTAGCTTCCTCTGTGTCAATTCAGATCCCTAGCCTCAGAATAAAGTACCTCACTCTGTATCTTGATGAACATTTCTCTCATATGATGATTACTCATTCCCAAGGGACCTCACACAATTAACAATGATTTCTTTTGCATCACACTATTCCCCATTTGAGGGTGGCCATTGATTTCTGTTTGATTTATTCCTCCTGTCCTGAACAATCACTGTGAATTCCAAAGAGAGACCACCTGTTCAACTGTAAACACAGACACAGAGATTGTGGAGTTTCTTACAATGACGAATGGTAGCTGACTGCCCTTCAAGTTGAGTCGGTGCCTGGTCAGACTTTCTGAGAACAGAACGGGCAGGAATGACCTCAGCTGTAACACAGGAGGATTGTTTACATGGTCTGTGCTACGTGTCCAATTCTGTTAACCATATCACTCACAATAAAAAACACAATATCAGAGAGATTTGGGGTAGGGGGCTGCAGTGATGGCGGTTGCTTTTATGGCAGGATGGGACTGTACATCAGCATGATGGTGTAACACTGGGTCACAGTGTTGCTGAGTAATGCATCATTTGAAAGACTGGTGTTGTATCAGTATTAGAAAGAAATACACAGAAAATACACAAACAACACATGGCAGCATCCCTGTGAATACACAGCAGAATTATTGTGTTGTGAACCACAGACTTTAACTATGTTTTTAGCTGGGTTAGACTGAGTGTGGGTCTCAGATATTGGATGATATGGACAACAGTAGTTCAATCAGAGTGATGGATGATTGAATGTGATCATGGATGATCAGCAAGTTCATCGTCTCTTATCCATATTATCCCATAACGTTAAAGACTGAGCTTCTACAACATCTGGAATACATATTTTGAAGTGTTCACCATTTCCTGTGTAAAGAAAACTGCCCCGTTTCACCCCTAAAGGGAATCTTCTTTCTTTTTCAATCAGTGCGTCCAGGTTCTTGAGACCACTGGAAGGGCATTCCTCTTGCCTGGAGTTATGCTGTGTATGTCTTTTGACATTTTCTAGGTTCCAATATGATAATTTCTGATTCATCAAAACAAGAAAATATAGGTCCCATTCCCCAATCTCTTTTCACAGCACTCTTCTGTCATCTCTGCAACAAGTTGGGTGAAATGGCATTGCGCGCTTGATGTAGCAATTTTATCTTTTTTTTGTGAATAAGGAAACCAAATGCACCACTATTCCAGGTGCAGTCTAACCAGTTTCTTACATGTTTGAGCAAGACTTCTCTACTCCTGAAATCAAATAGTCTTCTAATAATGGCTTACATTCCACAATCCTTTGAAATAGCTTGTGTACCTGCATGTTAGTCTTCATTGACTTATTGACAAGGACATCCAACACCACTTGTTAATCTACACTTTGCAACCTCTCATCTTTTTGAAATTAGTCTGCACACCTCGCTACCAAACAAAAGTGCATAACCTCACCTCTTCAACAGTATACTGCACTTGCCACATTCTTCCCCAATAACTATGCCTCTCCATATCCTCTTGAAAATGCTTACAGTTTCCCCACATCACGCATTCATGCTGACTTTTGCACCTTCTAAAATATGGTATTTTTACATTTGTTCTCAACCCACAGACATGTATCAAAATCAAGCAGCATCTAGTGACCAATTACTTGCTCACTGATGCTTAGTTTGGGTTCCACTGAGGCCACCCAGATCCTGACTTCATTATAGTTTTGATTCAATGATAGAGAGAAAATAGCTGAATTCCAGAGTTGAGGTGAGAATAACAATGCTTGACATCAATGCTGCACCTGACCGAGTATGGCAACAAGCAGCCCTAGCTAAGCTGGAGCCAATTGGAATCAAGAGAGATCTTGTTGCTGGTTAGAGTCATAGCAGGCACATAGGACGATGGTTGTTGTGGTTGGAGGTCAGTCATCTCCACTCCAGGACTCCTCTGCAGGAGTTTGTCAGGATAATGTCGTAGGCCCACCATCTGCAGTTGCTTCATCAGTGACCTTCCCACCATCAGAAGGTCAGAAGTGGGATGTTCACTTATAATTGCACAATGTTCAGCTCCATTCGTGATTCCGCAGACACTGAAGCAGAACATCTCCAAATCCAAGATGTGGACAATATCCTGGCTTGGGCTGAAAAACAACAATTACATTCACACCACAGATACAACTGGCAATGCCCATTTCCAATAAATGACAATCTGACAATCACCTCTCACCTCAGCAGCATTGAATCCTCCAGTATCAACATTCTGGGAATTATCATGAACCAGAAACTGAACTGGACTTGCCATATAGATACAATGGTTATAAAATGGTTATAAAAACAGGTCAAATGCTATGAATACTGCAGGGAGTTATTGACATCCTGACTTCTGGAAACCTCTCCACCAGCTTCAACATTCCTGTCCAGAGTGTGACACTTGAGAAACAAGATACAGATACTGGTCAAGCAAGGCACCATCCTAGAAAAATCATCCCCCATTTGACTGGCACCACATTAACGAACATCCATTCTCTCAACCATCGATGCTCAAAGCACCAGCATGTAGCATCTGCAAGATGCACAGCAGAAATTCACCAAGACTGCTTAGACTGCACCTTCCAAACTATCGACCACTTCCATCTCAATGAACAAGACTGGTGTGTACATGAGAATAACATTTCCTGCACGTTCCTGCCCAAGCCACCCGCTGGCCTAACTGGGAAATTTATTAGCCATTTCTTCAGTGTCACTGGTTGAATATCTTGGAATTACATCACTAACAGCATTGTGTGTCTATCTACAGTACACAGACTGTAGCAGTTCAAGAAGGCAGCTCACCGCCACATTCTCAAAGGCAACTCGGGAGGTGCAATCAATGCTGAGCCCAGCCAATGATGTCCATATTCCTTAAGAGATTTTTTTCCATTTAAAATGTCTGCTTTGTTCGTGCCTAGTAACTAAGCTATCCAAATCCTCCAGAAAAATAAAGTTTTGTATCTTCCCCAAAGGATGCACTTACATTCATGGCCATATCATCTCTTAATTTTTTTTTACATTTGTTTTCAATGTCTAAATCACTGGTCTTTATGGTGAACAACTAGGGCCTATCCTTGTGTACCCCAACATGTCTGCAGCATGTCTCACACAAAAATCAGTTAACCACTTTAAACGGGCATTTGTATGGAGTCAAAAAGAGGTTATCACACAGGTGGAGCTGAACCGGATCTCCTGGACCAGAGGTGCGGAGAGTACCATTGTGCCACCAAGTTCATCGTAACAATCACATTGTCTTTGCGAGACTGATACATTGATCCCTCTCTCTGCATGAGCAATGCCCAAACTTGAAACGTTTTCTGCCATTTCGTCACAACCCGAATTCCATTGCTGAAACTGGCAGAAAATGGAATTAGGGAAATGACCAACCGATGTTTGTTTCCGGAAATGGTGAGCGAAAGAGGCGCATGCGCGATGCTGCTCCAGCCTCAAAGTTGATTGTTCCTAACGAGAGGAGCGCATGCGTGAAATGGAATTGCTCCTGGAACTTGGAGTGAGCGGTCTGGGGGAAGATAGAGGCCTTTCTCGGGCCGTGTGTGAGCCTGCTGAGGGAGACAGAGTGTGGAAAATCTTCTCTGCGTTAATCTTATGGTTATCAACCCCATAAACACGGTTGAAAATTAATTGTTTGGCGTTTGTTCACATTGTCCAGTGAATCTTAGAAACGTGACAATCCTATAAAGGACCTGCATTGGAATCACTGGATTAAAAGTTTCGAGTGAAACATTTGAAATAGCGTCCGTTGATCTGCTGTTGAACAGTTGGTGGATTGGGAGCTGGATATTGAACTATGTAAGCATTCGGGTTCCTTCGAGTAGCCGCAGTCGTAGAGCTGTACAGTTGTTTCTCCGTTTCCCGATTTCACTCACTTGGTATAGAATTACGTGGAAAAAAAAGTGAACAGACAAGGAGTAGCTCAAAGTAAGAATGGAATCGGACCAGCGGCTCTGTTTGAATTGCTGAATTTGATGGAAAAAACGTCCTAATGTTTAGAACAGAATGTTACATTGATCAGTTCGATACTGTCAAAATCGCCTAATGTTGATTTAGAAGAGATACCTCTGTCTTCCTCCAGGAAAATGCTTGACCGACCAAGGCAACGTAACAGTTCCTTGGCACAAAGCCGAGTGTTACCAGCTCCTTTGAACAAACAGCAGGTATGCTATCGCTGAGAAAGCGGAGGATATCCTTTCCACAGGGTCAGAAATCACACGACACCAGGTTATAGTCCAACAGGTTTATTTGTAAACACAAGCTTTCAGAACCTCAGTGAGAGAGGTAGCATCAGACACAGAATTTACCAGTAAAAGATCAAAGGTTGACGCCATTGATGAGGATGTATTGAACAAATCCAAGGTGCTGTCAAATCTTTAATCAGTTAGAAATTTTCAATTGACTAATATGTATATGTAAACCCTTGAATTCCTTTCAACTCAAGTTTAGAGCGAACGAAAAATTTTATCAGTGTTAAAAAGGTGACATTACAGTTCAGACAATGCATGTTAACATGTGAGGCCTTGTTTCGAATCTATGATTTACAGATTTAACAGCATCTTAGGTTTGTTTAATACATCCTCATCAGTGGTGTGAACGTTTGATGTATTAGTTATAAATTCTGTGTCTGATACTACCTCTCTCACTAACACCTGCTGAAGGACTGAGGCTCCGAAAGCTTGTGTTTTCAAATCAACCTGTTGGAAAATATCCTGGTGTTGTGATTTCTGACTTGTCCACCCGAGTCCAACACAGGCACCTCCACTTCATCCTTTGCACAGTCACAGAGCCGACTGAGGTCAGAGCTCAATTTCCAGAGTGGTATGCTTAAACCAAGGAAACACCACCAAATTACAAGTGTTTTTTTCTTGCTATTCACAAGGCACACCACCTGAGTACCAATAAATTTCATCATCGATAGACCATTGACATTCACATAATTTTTAAGCGATAGAGATTGAATCATCGACCAAAATAAACACTAGGGAACAGTATTATAAATGACCTTTATGTAGATTTGAGGTTACGCATCGATCATGATGTTACATAGTTTCAACAACCTTGCATGAGGTACATGGTATAAACACTGCATACTGCTTTCACAGACAGGAAATTAGTGACCAAAGCAGGGGACGAAATTTAGTTACATTGAATTTTTCAGTAACGGAGGACAGGAGTAATCTTTTGATGAATAGTGTCACATACTGAGAAACAACAATTAAAAAATGTGAATTCAACACAAATTCTGTGGCAAAGCCTGATAAAGTGAGACAGAACACACACACACTCACTCACATTCTGATTGATTTAAAATAAGATCCAGACGCACGATATTGTGAGATGGATGTTCTGACATCAAACAGCCACATAGCATTAACTGACGGGTATAGTTTGATAACTGCACTCCCATATTCACAGAGCAGAATCTGACAGGTACATATTGAAAACTACACTAGCACATTCACTAAACTGATAGCTAAAGATTAATAACAAACTTCAAATGTCCAGATATCCAGCCATCAGGTAGTCCCATTCATGGGAATATACTGGTGTTGGTTCATTTCAGGATCTCTCTCAGTTGGTGTAGAATTTATAAACAAAATCTCTAGATGAGAAGGAACTCACAACAAGAATGGATTCAGACTAGTAGTTCTAATTGAATTGCTTTTTGAAAGAAAATCCAAATTACTATTGACTGACAGTTAAATTGATCAGTTCGATGTTGTCAAACTCAACAGATATCTCTCCTGTCTTTCTCCAGGTAAATTCATGAAAGACCAAGACAATGTAATATTTGCTCGGTGCAAAGCCAAATGTGACCAGCTTCTTCTGACAAACAACAGGTATGCAACGACTGTCCGAGCAGTGAACTTCATTTCCACAGTCAGAGTGGACTCTGACAGACTCACATTGAGCTCAATTTCCAGGGAGATATAAGCAAACCAAGAGTCAGACACCACCAAGGAAGTAGAAGTTTATTATTTCTCTTCCTCCATTCACAAAGTAAACCACTCCTTTTCCAATAAATTTCATCAGTCATTGTCATTGACGTTCACACCATTTTTGAAGAGGAATAGACTGAATCCTCATGTAAAATATACACACAGAAACTAACTCAAATCTACATTTATTGAGGGCATCTTTAAAGTTCCAACCAAAGTTTTAAAAAGAAATCATGCTGTTGTACGTAATTTCAACAATCTTACTTGAGGTAGATGTTAATTAGAAATATAGAAGGATATGTAAAGTAAAGCAAGAGTCACAACTGCATTTAGTTTACCAATCACTGAACAGGACAGAGTTACTCCATTGGTAAATCTTTATCCCATGCTTAGACACAACAAAGAAATAATGTGAATTACAAACACATTCTGTGCCAAAGTCTGACAAATAGACCAAAAGAACTGCAGATGTTGGAAAACAGAAACAAAAACAGAAATTGCTGGAAAAACTCTGTGAGTCTGGCAGTATATCACATACAGTGTGATAGAGTTCAACAGCACAGAAAATGGTCCTTTAACCCATCAAATCTGCAGAAGTCAGGTACAACCAGAGAAATATTCTGCCCCCATTTAGATAGCATTTCATTTCCATAAATGTATCATGCTGGCAGAGGAGCTGCCATGCTTAACTTTATCACAGCATAATTCTCCATTTTCCCCCTTGTTGGAGGAATAGAATTTCTTTCTATTTTCTCTGCAGCAGAAAGACTTGTTTTTATACTTGTATGCTCTTGTTTTCAAATTTGCTTAAGCATTCTGCAATGAGCCCTGTATACCTACTTCTTAACCCTGTTTATGAAGTATTAAATTAAACTGGACCCTGTCTGTTGAAAGTCTATCACATATGAGAGAGTTTGGAAAGACTATATACAGAAACCGGCAGCTCCATTGAATATTACATACTGACAAGTAGAGAATTAATTCCCATGTGCAGAAACAGTTGAAGTAAATGGAAGAAACAAAATCAGTTCTGCGTTCACACAAAAATCAAACAATTGCTTACTACACCAGTTACTCTCCATATTCATAGAGATAAAAACTTGAAAGAAACTGATGAATCCTTGCCACAATAAAGAGTGGAATGATGTGGTGCCAATACGTAGCGGGTACAGATAACTTGCAAATTACAGAAATACTGCCAGTTTAATAGGTCCCCAGGCAAAAACAAAAGATCACACGATTGGGAGAGCTAGACTTTCATTACAAGAACATAGAACACAGAACAGTGCAGCACAGTTCGGCCCACAATATTGTGCCGAACTATTACCCTAAACCTAAGGTCAATCGAACCTCCACCCCTACCTTATACTATCATCCATGTGCCTATCTAATAGCCACTTAAATGCCCCTAATGAGGCTGACTCCACTACCCTCTCCAGCAATGCATTTCACACCCCTACCACTCTCTGAGTGAAGAACCTACCTCTGACGTCTCCCCTATATCTACCTCCACTCACTTTAAAACTATGCCCCCTCATAATAGCTACCTCCACCCTAGGAAAAAGTCACTGGCTGTCCACTCTGTCTATACCTCTGATCATTTTGAACACCTCTCTCAAGTCACCTCTCATCCTTTGTCATTCTAAAGAGAAAAGCCCTAGCTCTCTCAACCTTTCCTTGTAAGACCTTCCCTCCATTCCAGTCAACATCCTGGTAGATCTCCTCTGCACCTTTGCCAGCGCTTCCACGTCTTTCCTGTAATGAGGCGATCAGAACTGGACACAATACTCCAGATGTGACCGAACCAAGGTTTTATATAGCTGGAGCATAACTTCACGGCTCTTGAACTCAATCTCTCCATTAATGAAAGCTCATGAAAGAATTGAAGAGGACAAGTTGAGAGCAAAATACGTCAATCCTAGTGTGTCGGTACACTCCCTACAGGATGTAAATGCATGGGATCACGTTGGTCACGAAGTAAATTTCATTTGTTCACAACATGAGAAAACACGAAGCACAATGAAGTAGTCCAAGAAGTAAATTGAACAAAAGAACAAAGAAAATTACAGCAGAGAAACAGGCCCTTTGGCCCTCCAAGCCTGCACCAACATGCTGCATGGTACAACTAAAACCACCTACCCTTCCAGTGATGGTATCCCTTTATTCCCATCATACTTGTATATTTGTCAAGATGCCCTTTGAAAGTCACTATCATATCTGCATCCATTACCTACCCTGGCAGCGAGTTCCAGGCATCCACCATCCTTTGTCTAAAAAAATCTTGCCTCATACATCACCTTTAAAACTTGCCCCTCGCACCTTAAACTATGCCCCCTCGTAATTGATGTTTCCACCCTGGGAAAAAGTTTCTGACTGTCCACTCTGTCCGTGCCCTTCATAATCTTGTAGACCTCTATCAGGTCGCCCCTCAACCTCCGTTTTTCCAGTGAGAACAACCCAAATTTCTCCAACCTCCCCTCATAGCTAATGCCCTCCATACCAGGCAACATCCTGCTAAAGCTTTTCTGTACCTGCTCCAAAGCCATCATATCCTTCTGGTAGTACAAAGACCAGAATTGAACATAATATTCCAAGTATATCCAGACTAATTACGTCTGCAAAAATCTCACCATGTCTAAAACCTGGAGGTGTTGCTAATGTATCAATTCCCTTTGTGCAAACTGGAGGAATTACATATCAGGCCAAGTTGAAATAAATGTTGCAATTTAATTAATTTCCACAGTAATACAAGTTGAAAAGCAGCACACACTTTGGACAAAATGACTGAAAAGGACCAACAGTGTGAGAGAATGACAAACATATAAACACATGACCTTCACAGGACCTGACATCGATGGCAATAGATGAAGTCTCATTCATGTCGAGCAGCGGAGATTTGAACAACAAAGCAGAACTTGAGCAATTTCTGAAAGTGACATGTTCAACTTAAGATGACACCCATGAACTGTGAAATACAATGATAAAGAATAAGGAGTACATTGACATTTAATACCAGAGATTGAATGAATCCCATGCTCATTGTCAACCCAGTTATGATTACAATACTCTCATATTTATGCAGAAGAAACCAGCAGGTATAGATCAATAACGTCCCTCTTGTATTTACTTAGCAGAAGCTGGAAAGTACATGTTGAAACCATACTTGTATATTCACAGAACAGAAACTGACTGGTACAAATCGATAACTAAATTCACATATCCACATTGTAGAAGCTGACAGGTACAGACTAATAACTAAACTCTAATATTCACGTTGTAGAAACTGACAGGTATGTTCACAACCCAGAAAGTGTTAGGGAAAGTTTGATAAATACATGCTCTGATTCAGATCAGAATATAAAGGGACAGATTGGTGAACATTTGGACAGCAGAGACTGATAGGAACAGTTTGACAAGTAAATTCACCTATTCACAGATACATATTGATAACTGCACTCACACAGTCGACTAGCAGAAGCTGACAGGTACTCACACATTCACATTGCAGTAACTGATGGACAGATTGATGATGATGCTCATGTTCACATGATTGAAAGTGACAGAGACAGATAAATAAGTGCAATCACAAGGCACATACTGAAAGGAATAGGTTGAGAAGTACACTCTCATATGCACATAGCAGAAACTGACAGAGACAGATAGAGAACTATACTTCCACATTCACTTAGCAGAAGCTGACAGGTACAGGTTGGTAACTGCACTCACACATCTACTCTTCAGGAACTGACAGAGGCAGATTAATGATGACATTGTATGGAGCTGGAGGAACACAGGTGGCCAGGCAGCAGCAGAGGAGCAGGAAAGTTAATGTTTCTGGTTGGGACCCTTCTTCAGAAATGGGGAGGGGAATGGGAGCTGGGAAGTAAATAGAGACAGGAAGGGTAAGGCTGGGGAAGGTAGGTGGGATGGTGATAGTTGAATGCAGGTACGGAGTGGTGGGGACTAGTTCGTGGGATGTATGGGGCGAATAGGTGGGAGAAAGATGGACAGGTTGTGTCAGGTCAATGGAGGTGGGGATGAGAGGGAGGGTTGGACATGGGATGAGGCTGGGGCTGGGAAGATTTTAAAACTGGTGAATTCCATTTTGTTGGCCACTGGGCTGTAGATTCCTGTGGAGGAATATGAGGTATTGTTCCTCCAGTTTGCGAGTGGTGTCATTGTGACACTGGAGGAGGCCCAGGGTGGACATGTTACCCAGGGAGTGGGAGTTGGTGACCAGAAGGTGGTGTTATTTGTTGCATACAGAGTGCAGATTCTCCATGAAACAGTCTCTGAGTCTATGCTTGGTATCACCGATGTTGAGGAGGCCACATTGGGATCAGCAGATTCAGTTGACCAAGTTGATGGATGTGCAGGTGAGCCTCTGTCTGATGTGGCAGGTTTGTTTGTGCCTTGAATGGAGGTGAGGGGGGAGGTGTAGGAGCAGGTGTAGCACTTCCTGCGGTTGCAGAGAAAGGTGCCGGGGTGTTGTGGGGTTAGTGGGGAGAGTGGAGCGGACGAGGGAGTTACGGAGAAAGTGGTCCCTATGACAGGAAGATAGGGGTGGGGAGGGAAATATCTCCTTGGTTGCACATTCATACAGCAGAAACTGTCAGGTATGGATTGGTAACTACACTCACACATCTACATTTCAGTAATTGACAGAGGCAGATTAATGTTGGCATACACCTCTCACAAAACAGAAACTGAGAGAGAAATATGAGAAGCAGACAGTAACAGATTAGTAGTCGAACTCATATTCATACAGCAGGGACTGACAGGGACAGTCTGATAACTCTACTCACGAATTCACATTGCAGTATCTGAGTGTTACAGATTAATAATTACACTCTCACATTCACAAAGCAGAAACTGATAGGGACAGATGGACATATATACTGATACATTGACGTAGCTGAAACTAACATGAATAGATTGATAACAGGACACACACATTCACATAGCATAAACTGATAGATACAGATCGGTAAGTTTACTCACACAGTCACAAAGCAGACACTAACAGTTACAGTATAGTACCTACTCTTACACATTCATGTTGCTGAAACTGACAGGTACAAATTAGTAACTACACTGCCATATTCACACAGTGGAAACTGAGAGGAACTGATTGATAGTGACACACATATTGACAGAGCAGAATCTGACAGGTGCAGATTGATAACTACACTCATTGACAGAGCAGAAACCAACAGGCATAGATGGAGAACTTCACTTACACATTCACATCACTGAAACTGACAGGGAGAGAATGATAATTGCAGAGAAATTCAAACACCAAACAAAAGTGAAAGATACAGATTGATAATTGCATTGACACATTCACAGATTGGAAACTAATGGGCAGAGATTAATAATTACATCATGCATTCATATAGCAGAAATGGACAATTACAGATTGATGACTACCCTCTCAGATTTGCAGGGCAGAATCTGACAAGGACAGATTAGCAAGTCACTTACACATTCATGTTGCAGTAACTAACAGCTACAAATCTGTAACTATATTTGCATATTCAGAGAGCAGAGTCTGACAGTGACAGAGTGATAACAAAACTCAGATTGAAATAGCAGAAACTGATACGTAGAGACTGATAACAATGCTCACATTCTCAGAGTTGAAATTAAGAGGTACAGGTTGATAACTACACTTTCAAAAGCATATGGAAAAACTGACAGCTACAGAATGAAAAATGTATTCACATTTACAAATGAGAATCTGACAGGTACAGTTAATAATAACAAATGGACAGGTACAGTTTGGTGACGACGCATATTTTCACAGAACAGAATCTGACATATACAGTTTGGTAACTACATTCACATATTCACCATGCAAGATTGACAGTTATAGATGAATAACTAAAATCACCTATTATCACAGCTGAAAATGAGAGGTATAGATTGATAGCTGTACTCATATATTCACAGAGCTGA